CAGGGATCTTCCTCGGATTCATCGATGCGAAGCCTGAGCCCGCGGTGACGGGAGCGGAAAGTATTTCTCACTATCTCAGATCCTGGAGGATCCCGCAGGGAGAATATTCCCGTTCAAGAGCACAGGCTCAAGAGCTTGACTTATCTGATGATTTTCGGTCGGGTCCGTCCGAATGAAAGACAGTTCCTACACGAGTTTCCAAAGTGCAGGTATTTCGGCTCATTCATCCGAGCATGTTTGAAGCAGCGCTGCAGTACAGCGTCCTGCCCTCGTGACTCCATACTGTATCGAATTTTCGGCGGAGGGGAATGTTAGACGAGGGTTGTTGTCTGTATTGAAATCCGATGGTACGTCGCACAAGGCACTCGTGTGAGTGACAGCGCACAGCTAACGGCATGGAGGGTATCCGGCGGCATGAAGCTTCTTCTGTCATGTCACATGCATGTCGCGACGTAATGGCAACAGGAGAAAGCTAGCCCGAAGGCTGCCATTCCTGTCCGTCAGTGTGTTTCGTCGAAGTGCTCACGTTCGCCTAACAGTTTCACAGTCGTCGCTCTGCTGTCCAGCTAAGCGGAAGGTGGGACGTGAGGAGAAATCACTCGAGACGGAGCAGCTTCCGAAATGGAGGAATAAAATCCCTCGGTCGAGGAGCGGTCCCGAACGGGCTGGGAAGACCGAGCTCTGACCTGAAATCATGATTTTCCCGGATACTTTCACGCTTCCTGGCAGAAATACCGAAGAGGCGAGACTTCACCGTGCATGCCTCCCACACCTTTTGCACACTGGCTGGCTCATTCCCTTGCGATGTTTCGCTTCCGAATCCGATAGGTCTCCCCTCCGAACTAGAAAGTACTGAGGCGTATATAGAGATTGGAACACGCACAAGTACGAAAACACGCTGAACGGCCCGACATCGAACGCAACAAAGCAGCGTGTAGGCACGCACCAAAGACAAGAACATTCGACGCACAATGGAATCTAAGGCACGCAGTGAGATGTAGGAGAGAGCTGAATGAAACGGGAGCACGCGGCGGCACTGCAAGGACCGACAATGTTCAGGGTTCAGAGTCTATTTCGAGCAAATAACGAGATGCGCGTTCAGAGTCGTCACCGAGGTCTTCTGTCACTCCGGAGTGCGTTCTGCGGAATTGCTTACTCCAGCATCACACGCACGGCATACGTCGAATGCAAGCGGAGCATACTCCCCACGAGGAGGAATGGAATTCCCTGAATTCGAGTCGAATACCTCAGAGTTTAAGCTTCAACTTATTCCCGCATTTGAATATTTTTCAGTGAGTGAAGCTGCGGTGGCTCCGTCGCACATATGACGAAAGTCAAGATGATCTAATCGTTGGGGTGGGCCAGCAGGCGGAGACATTATCCGGGAACAATTTCGGATATTGATTACAAGAAGCACCCTTCACGACGAGCCCCGTTGGATTGACAAAATCTATTGTTCGTGAGGAAAATTCGCTACACGGGAAGGTTTTTAAGAATTTCTATATGACAAGTTAGCCGAATAAACGGGAAAAAAATCGTTGCACCAAGAATTCGCTGTAGCGGTTTTCGTTGCAACGAGATTTCACTGTATCTTTCATACATGACGCGTGGAATTCCCCCTTCATTCATTTATTGACCGTTCACGAGGCTACGTTTGAAATCGCCATGGGTTCATGCTCATCCTGGAAAAATATCGGGTGCCCGAGGGTGATCGGGTAGAGCCTTGGATCTGAGCCCCACCGCCTTGCGTACTAGGGCCTCGAAGGTTCTAGTCTAGTCATAATTGATTCGAACGGTGGCTCGGGATGATATCGGCTGGCAGGATTGAAGAGGCTTCCATACTCATGAGATCCCATGCTGCAATTCTTATCAGCTGACACTAACATATGTCCTGGGTGATTTTCAGCCCGGAACTTCGCGTATCACACCACTCCTGCGGCTCGTTACCAAAAGGATCAGTCCTCTTGAGACTTCCTATGTGAATTCCAAACGCGGCTGGGGACGTCATTCTAGGTGTCGGAATGTCAGCTCGAGAACAACCTGACGGGCCGAGGTTCACGCAAGAACTCCGACTTGGAGCTGCTCTAGCACCGAGAAGAGTTAGACTAGCGGAGGATTCATCGGCTTGGCGAGAGAAATTCATGATTCGGAAAATCATGAGCTCGAAGAAACCGAGAGTATCATCGAATCAGCGGTTTCAAGTCCCCGTTCATGGAGAAGGATGGTAACTCTTTTGAAGCGCAAAGTAGGATCGGGAACACCGGCTGAGTTCGCCGCGGTCTCTCGTGAACGACGGTAGGTTGAAGCATCCAATCGAACTTTCCTATTTCCATTTTTCGGGGACGAATAATAAATTCATCTTCTGGAACGGGCTCCGCGCTCGGGACAGCGTGACCTTCCCCATGACTATCGAATCAGTAATATGCCTAGTCTCCTCGTCGTAAACAGCAGCGCGGCGTTAGAACCGCATGATCCTGGCGACCTTAGGGAATTGCAAGCCTGCGGCTGCTAGATAAGACTAATTGAGGAGCATTCTCGGTGTTTATGCTGAGTATGTTGAGCGTTCGACGTCCTCCATAGCCCGAGCCTGACAGAAACATTCGGAGAGCACCGAAACAGAAATGATCTCCCCTCGAGTACGGGCTCTTCAGGCCTCTTCTCCGATGCCGATCGGACTTCCAGTCGACGAGTCGGAGATCGTCGATTTCCCTCACAAGCGGATATCGGCGAACTTCGAGCTCGGATTGTTTAGATCTTGCTCGATTTCGGAGCTGTCAGTTTCACTTAGGAGCTAGGTATGCGGAGATTCCCGTTGGGGCGAGATAAAGGCCCACCTCCGCATATTTCTCCGAAAAACATTCTGAGCACATTGGGATTCGGCCCGAGAATCATGCCAGGCATCGGAATACAGGGGGAGGATGGTTTGCATTCCAGATAGAACGCCCAATCGGGATGGATCGAATTCTAGTTCGAGCAGCGATCGTATGACAGCTGTCGTGTTCTACACCCGGGCCCTCGGAGCGAGAATCGGACCGCCCGCCCCGCATCGAATTCAAAAGCACCTCCGGCCTACTGGCAGCTCCTTCTCGATCAGGACCCCATCTGATACCGGGACGAGAAATTTACTTTCGTCATTTTCGGTCGCCAGGACTTTTTCTCCACGGACGGAGAACGGTATGAGCTTCCCAGGATGGAATGAAGAAAGACTTGTGTGACGACAAGAAATATTCGGGCTTCTGACCCACCGAGGGTCCCCGAGTTGTCAACAGATGGGATGCAGATTGAATCGCACTGACGCCGCATCCCGCGAGACGTCTGGTCCGAGTCTGGCGCTTGGCCATCTCGAGGATGTCTCTCGTTCTCTCCGCGCATACGCCGGTATACATTTTTCTGAAGCGAGTGTTCCTCGAACTTCGTTCCCAGCGAGTCAAATGTGGAATCCCACGGAGATCCATGCGATGAGCTCGCTGGTCATCGCTTCGACACGCCGTTTTTCGGGCATCAACCGCGACGATTAAATCTAATTGGTGCGCCCCATTCTCGTTCTTCGAAGGAGAATACGATGAAAACTATCGGCATATCAGACGACTCCTGATTCCCTAAACGATTACTATGATCACTGACATCGACATTGCTCGACCGCAAAAACGAAATTCTCGGAAAGAATGCTTCGTGCTCTCGAGAGGAACACGGCGCGGGCTCCGACTCAGATAAGGGGTATTTCGCTGCCGTGGCCCGGAAGTCTAATGGAAGTTTGTCCCGCGGACTCGTCGCTACGTTATTCCGGCCGCGGCTCCGAAGAGCGTGGTTTTCCGTTCTCACGAAGAAAAAATCCATCCCCACATTGACTTGGAACATCCGCCACGCTGACTGCACCATAGCAGCCCGTCCATGAATTCCTCCATCCATTCTCCCATAGATGTAAATCTTGACATTCGTTGCACCATCTTCTATCCATACGAATAAAAATAGATGAGTCCTCGCCCGCTATCCGGACGTCAATCATACTTCACTACTCCCACGACTGTCCACGCGAATGTGCCTATATAAAGGCATCACAATAAAGCCGTGCGTGTATCCTGGTGTGACTACGCAGCGAATGCTCTCGGTGAGGAAATGGACGCAGAGTAAAATCTCTGCCTCTTATACACAGATTTTCGGCATCTCCGTACCTGTATAGTTGTGCAGTCTCGAAGCTCAAGTGATAATTGTATTATGTAGATCGGGGACTGCCGCTTCCTGATTCAAGATCGTCATCTGAGCTATTTTTCTTATTCTTATCATTTGGTTTGCAGCGCATATAACTCCGCATGGCTTCGTTGAGATTCAACGATGCGGAGCTCATTCAACGCCGCATACAAACAAGCTCATTGGCTTCTTTTCCCGACACGTTTTCTCGGCGCGTCGGTGAGCGCGCAGAGAGCCCCCGTTGCGAAGTTGCAATCTCAAGTCAGAGGCCTTCGACTCTGATTCCCAGATCGTGATCCCCCTTCCCCCCGGGATCGCAGGATCGATTCTAAGAAACGCGCCTTTATTTTGAACTCCGCAGAATTCATTCTGCTGTTCTGCGCGCTCAGGCTTGACTCCCAGTCATTCGAGTTCGAGCACTGCAAGTCATCGGCATCAATCGGCGTGGCACCGTTGTTTGCCACACGTCCGCTCTGGGGTTGTCTGGACGTCTCTGAGTTCCCCTCCTTGTCGGAATATGATCGATTATAACCTATGAGGATGTATACCAGCCTCGAGAAAACCAAGCTCAATCGCCTAGGGCTGAGAAGGCGAAAGTTGTCTTCTATATCAAGAGCCGGCGCCCGTGGCACAACTCTACACAATGGCAGGCCCGTCCCGAACTCGCGCTCCTGATGCTCACGTTCCGGCAGGTAGCGATCGACGTTCAGTACAAGGCTACACGATTTTCGTTGATTACAATCTCGAGATAGGGATAGCGACGAATGTCCTTATCTCTTATCTGACGCCGCTAGTAGCGAGACGCTCCCATCGTCTACTAGTCGGCGCAGTCAGATTCGAGTGCGCGACCATACTGTGTCTCTCGGAGTTGCGTAATTTTGGATTCGTGCTGCTTCTTGGCGAAATCTCCCAAGTTTCCGCGGTGGGTGATCCATGGATTTTCGATACGAGTGACTTCATCGATTGCGGGATAGTCTCATCAAAACCTCCCGTCAGAAAGTTCCTCCGGCTCGGGGAGATAACATGGATTTCTCTCCACATTCTAGACATCGCCGCAGCGCACTTGTCCAGCGAATTCTCAGGATGCCGAACTCTAACGAACTGTCCAAGCTCCCAGCTCCGAATGAGATCGTTATTCTCAGCGGGAACTCTCATCTGGACCTGGCCCACAAAATTGCAGCGTATGTTTGAAGCTCTATTTCGAAGTGCAACCTTCAGATGTCACAAATTCTACCCGCCTAGCGGGGAGATATCCCAACTCTCTGAGAGGAGTTTCGAACAAGGAGAGAAATGCCCAAGCTCCATCCTAGAGCCATGAGTCCGGATGTCCAGCTCTATTTTCCCGATTTTCGGAGACTCCTCCGAGGACATCAAGCAGAAGCGCCTATTGTCTTCATCGGAACTCATTTCTCTCCCGTATCACAAATTTCCACGACAGTGACTCCTTTCAAGTGAACACCGCACCGAATCTCAAAGATCCGAGTTTCGCCGACGTGACTTTTAGCGAGAATCCACGATTCGATTACCAAAGGCGTGTTTGGACTGACTGAGGAGTTTTGCTTCCAATATTCTGAGGCGAAAAAAAAGTATGATCCTATCGCACACATAAACACTCGCGGGAGTCTAGCAGACTAGCGAAGGATCTCTATCGAACTTATCGAGATCCTCAAATGTACGGAACTTCGAGACCACGGAAGGCGGGAACTCACCGCGGGAGGAGTTCCGGTCGAGGGTCGGCTGAGATTCTGAAAAGCAAATATTTGTTTCCAGGAGCATAGGCACGAAGGTCGGCAAGAGCAAAGTTCTCCATTTTGCTAATAAAGGTAAAGTGCCCTGAGAGTAGAGTGCGGCGTGCGTTTTACGTGCATTGGATTCCCTTTGAGTGCCGCTCGCGCTCGGCTTATTAGCGGGGACACATGATGCCGAGCTCCGCGTTACCATTGAACTTTGCCCAGTGCCGCCCACGATTTTTGAAACAAGTACGTCAGACGTCTCCTCGGTTACAGAGAGCGCTGTGGACATTGACGAGTCGGTCAGGAGTCGCAACGTCTACCTCATCCAGTCCGGCTCTACAAAGTGAGTTGAGTCTGCCTCACCGAAATTAACATTTCGGAGCTGAAGCTCTACGAATGGCGATCCAGGTTCCGTGAATTTCTGCTGAATCAAGTTCCCTGCATGACCTTCCAGAGATGTCAACGATTCGATCGTGGAGCTGTTGATCATGGCCTACCACTGTCAAACATCTGCGGCTCGCAAGGTCGTAGCGGTGGTTCCGTATTTTCCGTATTCGAAGCAAAGCAAGATGAGGAAGCGGGGCTGCATCGTATCGAAACTTCTGGCACAAATGTTGATCAAAGCTGGAGTCAATCATCTCGTCACCATGGATTTGCATCAAAAAGAGATCCAGGGCTTCTTCGACATTCCGGTGGATAACCTTCGCGCAAGCCCTTTCCTCCTGCAGTACATCACACAAAACGTAGGTGACCAGTTTCCGATCTCACCGGACTGCTGGTGCGCTTTTCGCAGCGCCGCCGTCTTTTCAGATTCCGAACTGAGGAACAGCAATCTTCGTGGAAGAGAGGAGCAATTTATTCCCTCTTTTCCAAAGCGAAATTAAATTCCTCGCTCCTCTATTTATTACCGCCTCGCAAACAGGCTGAACTCGCCTCGCGACGCCGAGATGAGGGGAGCTCCTTCGACAGCTGTCCCAGAGCCTCCAACGGAAGAACAGTTCCGAAACTTGATCTAGAAATATATTCGCTCAACGACCTCTCTCCATAAATTCTTCAATGGAAGGCTCGGTCACAAAGAGATTCTTTCGGAGACTAGGCATACTCGGAATCGACTTCCCAAGTTCAGACTGCATGCTTGAGAGCAATCGATAAGAAAGGGGGATTTTTCAGATCGCTGACTACAAGAACTCGGTCATTGTCGCACGTGTTCCCGCTCAGACGCACAAAGCCTCGGCGTTTGCGGAAAAACTCCGCGTTGGGATGGCCGTCATCCACAACAAAGCTGTCGACGAAGAGGTTCGGATACGCAATAACCCGTACACATCGAAATTCTCATATCTATGATTCCGGAGCAGATTTAACTCGATCACAAGCCATCGAAACGATATTTTTCGATCCCAGATTACGGATGGACGCCATTCGCCCCCACCCGAGGCATCTCGGAAGATTTCAGAGTGCCACGAATCAGCTCCAGAAATGAACTCGGCGATTGTGGGCGATGTTCGAGGCAAGAACGCGATCATGGCGAGTGTTCCTGACCCTCTATGAGCCATTGAGGAAATCTCACGGGCAGATACCGAAAACACGTATCACAGACCACAATAAACACGAGAGCTTCGGCGCCCCAATAATTTGGCCCGTTTTCCGCAGGTGGAGGACCTGATCGATGATTTGAGTCAGTTCGTCTATGCAGCGGAGTTTCTGAAATCCTACGGCGCTAGACGAATCTATATTTTGGCGACTCACGGCATTCTGTCGCAGGACATCGACATTCTCGAAGATTCGCCCATCGACGAGGTTCGAGTCCGTACCATCTAATTTCAGCGGCGGTGGCCGAGGGATGCTTCCCGCTTCCCCAAGAGTCGCACCAGCAACTTCGAAAAAAAATCTGCGCCTTTGATCCGCTCGCTCAACGATCCTCTCCTTCCAGGTCATCATCACGAACACCGTCCCCCATGACCACGAGTTGCAGAAAATGCAATCGAAGAAAATCAAGACCATCGACGTCTCGATATTACTGTCCGAGGCGATCCGTAGAATCCACAACAAGGAGTCGATGTCTTATCTGTTCAGGAACGTCGGCCTCGAGGATTAAATTGAGGGCCGGAGGGCTCGTAGAGCTCCCTCCGCCTATAGAACGAGTTTGGGAGAGCGAGGGTCGTTTCCCAGCCATACCTTCAGAATAAAGGATAATCCCTCTGGATCTTCCAGCTTCTTACGTGTGTACGAATCGTCGTCATCGTTCTCCTCCTCGCTTCCCCTGACAGAGGATTCCGTATCTGCCCGTGCGAACACGCATGACTTCGGGCGAAATGGGCAGCAGCCGGGAGCAACGTTTGGATTCGGATTAATTCAGATGAGGGGAATTTCGCCTCCTGCATGAGAGGAGGTTCTGACCCATTCCAGGTTCCCCGTTTGCTGCTACTGCTTGTGCTGCTCCTCGCTTTTTCGCTCAGTTGACTCTGCGCTAAGCTGAGTGCGTCAACAGCACACAGACTGTGAGTTTCCCATTCGCGAGCAGTGAAAGCTCTCACTGCTGGCAGCGAGAGCCGGCCCGTCGGCCAACATGCATCCCCTTTTGGGATCTGAACCGGCTCGTCTAGAGTTCAGGCGGGGAGACTCTATTGGAGACTTCGTTTGCTTAGGCACAAGGAATGCTCTATCAGTCTTCTGAAACTTTGCAATCCCGACCCAGCTTAGTCCATGTTATCCCGTCATCGACCAAGCTCGAATATGTATGTGGAAAGAGATTTCCGAAACGTCCCGAGAGTTTTTGATCATCTCCACCGAAGTCGTCCCGGGTTCGGGAGTCGAAACTTTGAGCATCTCTGCATAAGGTTCTCTCGTGGAGTGTTTGTGTGAGCCGAATTTTCCCGAATCAAGGCTCCAAGTCGGAAATGAAAGCTTCGGGCCATTTCCTCGGATTCCTTCATCTCCTCTGGCCCTCATTTCCCGCAGCCGTACCTTTTTCGTGAGCCAACACCTCTCCCGATGTGTTCAAGATCCTATGCGGAGAAACACCATAGATCGTGAAAGGGTGCGGGTAGGAACGATCCCTTCAACATAGGGCCCTATGGGGGAAAGTCGATCTCGGAGCCCGCTCGATTCTACGAGGCACTCGCCTCGTCTACGGCGAGAACATAGAGAAAGAGAAACGCCTCTCGAGGAGTTGAGAGAGTCTTCGAGATAAGATCCACCGAGCTGACCACAGGATCTCTCCGTCTGCTGGGACGGGGCGTCATACTGGGGATTTCACAGCAGGTCACGTGAGCGCAACCGCCCGTTCGACAGTCACGATCGATCAGACCCTCCGACAAAGATACATTGGAACGATCGTAGGTCGAGAACGCCGCTTCGTCCTGGAGACGAAGGACCTTGTTGAGAGGAGTTGAATCTTTGGTTTTGGAATCCGATCCCTATCGAGAGCGATCCGAATTCGAGCTCACAGCTGCTCCATTCAGTCGGCGTATTGTGTGTCCACACGTCGTAGATCCCCATGAGCCGAAACAAGGACTAATGACCAGGATGCCGAGGGAGTTGCATTCATGCTGGAGCCTTCCGTCAACTCCGTATTCCTGGCGGCTGCTTGTGCGTATCTTACGCTAATGAGAGCCGAAGGATAGCGTTGTGATGCAACCCACGGAGACCATCCCTCCCGTCCCATATACCTACTCTTCCCAATAACGAGGAGGTTTTTGATGTATGAGACAGCGTACGATTGCAGAACCTGCCTTTAGCCGTCAGCCACGGACAAACAACAGCGACCGAAGACGTCACAATCGCAGTCTTGTAGGTACTTGGCGGATGATATCTTGCTCAATCTGGTCACTCGAATATGGACCAACTCTCGCCGTCGTCCACGGATCCATCGAGGCGTACCACTTACGCTTTGCGCTTTTCGTGGGGCATCCTTAGCGATCTGGTCGTCGACTATTAAAATCTCGCGAAGTCCCCCCGAGACGGAATTCTATTCGCGTCCCTCCTTGAGAGCATACGGGGAATGGATCGGGAGGTCCATTCGGTCAGCCCCATTATTTGAGTCGGTTTCGCCGGAGAGGTGTGCAGCTTAAGCTGCTCTCCAATATCGCTTAGAATATTCCGATTCCGATGATGGGATCGGGTTCCAAGCCTCAATCGACCTGCAGCAGTGCATGATTCTCAGAGGGGAGCGGGAGCATGAAATCATTGGATGCACCCGAACATATGATTAGGGCTCTATGATCTAGGCTCGGGCTCGAGGCGCCCCTTCCGGCTCGGAGTCTGCGATTGAAAAAGTCAGGCTCAGCTTGCCAACGCAGACGCGTGCAGCGATCTTGACCTTGGCCGCGAAGATACAATCGCTGCACCGCCCCCGGGTTGTTAACCCCGAATCGATCGAGGAAGGCCACTCTTTTCGGCCTCAAGGGGGGGGGGAGTGGTAAACAAGGGCATGAATTTGTCGTCTCTATCCCTTGAGGAAAAAACGCATTCCGCTCTTCTAGGAGAGCCCGTCGAACGCCCGCATCCGCGAGACAGGCCCCTGAGGGACGAAATAAATCTTGCATCCTCGAGAGTCGTCATGATCCGAAATTAGCTCTGAGAGTTCGGACTCAAGCTCCGACACTCTATCCTGCGACCGCCCCGCTCAGAGAGATTCCGAGGATCGCGGGGCGTTGACCATGAACATGACATGAATGAGCCGTGTTGTATGGAGGGCAATTTTCAGGCGGAAATCCCAATTTCCGATCAGATGTGCTTGTCCTCCAGTTTCCCTGAGTTGGAATATGCGGCCTGTCCTGTCCCGGATGGGGTTACAAATTCAATTAGCTCTTCTCCAGAAGGGTTTCGTCTATTGCGTGGCTTGGGGAGATAGTGTTCGAGGGTGCAGGGGAATTCCTCTCGAGGGAGGATCGTAAAATTCCCCACCTTCACGGCAACCTTCGGGGACTACCAGAACAAGAAAACGCGCATCTCTTGTCGGGTTTGCGTGGAATCGAAGTTTTCTCTTCCTCTGACACGGATCCGGCGCTAATCCTACCGCCAGATGGGGTGGGCTCATGCAAAAGCTGTATTTCGCAACTACGAAAAGGTCTTCGACAAAACTTCGGAAGTAAAGGCCTGCACAGAAGGTACTTCTCAGACCAGGGACCCATACACTGGTGAAATTTGTGAGATCGAAGTTTCCTTCTAATATGAGGTCTCGAGGAACGGGAGTTCCTTCACATGCGGGACTTGAGGCGGAAGTAGGATTCCGAAAAAAAGCCCGAGAAACTCAGTCCGACCCGTCGGAGACCGTAACCCCGAACGGTTGAAGAACCTCCTCCTTCGTGAGACTATCACTGCGTGCACGGGAAGCGCTCCATGTGAGGGTCTGTCAAGAATCTATTTAGAGTTACTTTATTGCTCAAGCTAAATCCGTTCATCCGAGGGCGCGAGCCAAGCTGGCTAACTTTCTCCACGGGCCGCTGGCTCTGGAAAATTCGAAAAGGTTACAAAAGCGACCAGAATAGGGTTTCGATATCCCCGCCTCCATCGAGGTCTGGGAAGCGGTCCGAAGGAAAGACTCACCTGCTTCCGGTACTGTGGTACCGACTTCTGAGAGAAACGACGTGAAAAGCGGCCGGGCAAGGGATAGGCACCGTGCATAGATAAATAATTAGAGCTTAATGCTATATTGTGATATTGATTGAGGTGTATGTCGACCATCGCATAACGCGACGATTCCGGAAATCCTCGAACTTTTCCGTGACTCTCTCATTCTCCCTCGATCATCGTTGGAAGTTGGAATGTTGTATGATCTCCGATTGTGAAAATAGATGCATGTGAAAGATTCCTCAAGGATCCTTCTCAGAGAGAGAGAAGTCTCTTTCCGATACCCATTTTCCTTTTCTGTCCACGTTTCCTCGAACTATGTCCATTGTCCAAATAAGCGAGCCTGACTGGACATACCCTTCCGGATTCGATTCGGACTTGAGAATTCCGAAAGAACTAAGGTTATCAGATGTCATCCTATGACGGCCGATCCCAATGTCCCCGAGCTACAGCGAATCCTCAAGGAGAGATGACTGGACCAGACCGAAACTTAGAGAACCGTCTCGGGAGCTGCTGTTGCTCCTGCCTTTGACCGATTGCATCAGCGAGCCTTTGTTTTGAGACTAGCTGGCGAGATTCCTGAAGAAGCCCGGAAGCTCTCTGAGTGCCTTCAAGCGCCGCTGTCCCAGCTTGAGGAGGAGGTCGACTGGTAGGTTGGTCGCTGGGACGGCTGTCAATTGTTCCCACGAGTTGGTTTCGGGAGCGTACTTGACAAATTACAAATCTCGGCTGACAGCAAGAAAACTTTGTCCAGCTGTCCCGGATGTCCGACGTGTGTCTTAATTCTTCTGACCTTCTGCTCTCGTTCGAAACATGACGGCGACAGGATATGCTTCATCTGATTTTCGCAAAGAAGGAGAGCGTGAATTTTCCAGGAAGCGCCATTTCTCAATTTGAAGTCCAGATGCTCGAGCCCGGGCCCGCCTCGGGGAAGTCAATACGGGAAAAACTGGATCGCTCAGAGAACCGAGCATCTCGAGTACTCTCGATTTCGGGAGAAGGCCCATCAGATGCCGCCCCTCCCAGAACCGAAATCGTACTCCGACGATCGGAGTGCCCCTCGCACGCAGGGAACTCATCGCATGAGACCCCCATTAAGCCCCATAGTCGAGTCGATGTTCGGACCGAGACTCGTTCCTCTCGACAAGTGCCCCAACGGAAGACGCGTCTCGTGCACCCCGTTGAGTTCCTTGGACAAGGAGAGCTCTCAACGAGAAACAAGCAGAAAGACATCCGGCTCTGGAGAAATTGATTGCTGATGACTGATTAAGAGCGTGCGTCAAGACCGTGATTCGCCGTGGGATTCCCTCCCTCTTCCCTCGCGTGCCAGCGACCAGCCCATGAGAACCCTCTCTGAAGGGCCTTTCCCAAGCAGCGGAGAGTTCTTGCCTCTTGGAGTCCTCGAGAACGCCAGAGTTGTGCGTGACTCCGCAAGGCAGGAGGACATGTGACTCGAAAGTTCTCCAAACCTATTCGGAGCGTGACGAAAAATCACACACGTATCGAAGATGTAGAATAGGTGAGTGCCAGATCGTTGCCAACTGCCTTCCGTTCATATGCGGCCGACGCTGCCTGCTAGGAATGACGCTCGAGACGGAGTGCACCGTGCTAACACGGTTGCGGTGCACTTGGTAAAT